ACACCTTTACATATGTGTATATATATATATATATATTATATATATATGTGTATATAGATATATAACATATAGATATGATAGATATATAGATATAGATATATATATATATAGATATATATATATATATATATATATATATATATTATAATACATAATTATATATATATATGTATTCTCTATATATATCTCTCTCTCTATCTCTCTCTCTCTCTCTCTCTCTATCTCTCTCTCTCTCTCTCTCTCTCTCTCTCTCTCTCTCTCTCTCTCTCTCTCTCTTCTTCTTCTTCTTCTTCTTCTTTTTTTTCTTTTTTTAATTTATTTCCTCTTTATTTCGCTGTTGTTTCCACTGCAGGGTCCTGGGACTCTGTTACGTATACGAGCTGCGCGATGCCCGAAATGCACCGATAAAGTGCGTGATTATTTCGTTTTAAGGGTTGTCATAAGAGGATACACAATCCCACTATAAAAATTATCTCGTTAGTAATTGACAGGCAAACCCTATATATATATTATATATATATAATATATATTATATATTATATGAATAGATATAGTGTTTGCCTGTCAATTACTGACGAGATAATTTGCATAGTGGGATTGTGTATCCTCTTATGACAACCCTTAAAACGAAATAATCATGCACTTTATCGGTGCATTTCGGACATCGCGCAGCTCGTATACGTAACAGAGTCCCAGGGCCCTGCAGTGTAAACAACAGCGAAATAAAGAGGCGTCATTAAACAGTGCATAAAGCCCTTTTGTGTATGGTGTCACGTGATGTTATAATGGTTCTGCTGCGGTTGAGATCACATTTTGCGTCATGTATTTAGTGACATGTATCGATTTACGCCCTTTTTATCTGCCATTTACGCTTCAAGTAAGTGATTCGCAGTGACAAAGCTTTAAGGAGGTGTGTCGCAGGTTTAATACCGTGCGAAACATTTCACCAAGCTTGAAACCGTGCAGACAAGCACTTAGTACTCCAAGCAATTTAACAGCCATTGGCAACCTCTTTAACCGTAATAGCATTGCACAACGCCAGTGCAGCAGCAGTGGTCGTGTCGACCACTGCTGTCACCAGGCTTATTACCGCGGATCTGTGTGTTTGTGATTTATTTTCGTGGAGCGGTACCACGTCGGCTGACGAGAGACTGCGATGGGATGCCGCGAATCATCCTCGGTACCGCTTCGGCAGCATTAGCTGGAATTGCAAAAGAACAATCGCCACTCTCGGAAGCAGTTTTAAAGTTTTAATGGGTTGCTGAATTTGTGGAACTTTGGAGCACAAAAATGCAATATGGCATGCGGAAACGTACGTACCAAGGACTGAACAGGGCAGAGCGACTTTTGATGCGCACTGAAATTTGACGTAATGATCTGAATTAAGACGTTCGGCTCGCGCTTGTCGGTAAAAAAACACGTTTTTTTAAGCCGGCAATAGTGCGTTTTTGGACATCTATCTTTTGGGTGATAGAAATAAAACATCGCTGTCTTTATGATCGCTTTTTGGTTGTATCTGAAAAATACAAAAAGCTAAACGAATATCACACATTGTTCCATTTCGGAAAATCATCGCCATCGTCATTCCCACCTTTATTATTATCGTTATCTTCACCGTCATCGTCATCGCTATCGCCATCATCATCGCCGTCGTCATCATCATTGTCATTGTCATTGTCATTGTTGTCATTGTCATTGCCAGGGTCAGTCATCGTCACCATCACCACCACCGCCGCCAGCACCACCACCACTAACACCCTTGCAAGTCCCCACACCCGACGTTCTAGAACACAAGTGCAAAAAAGGGTTAGTCTCGTATGTCATCTACAGCACTTCCCATTTGGCAGTGTCTCTTAAGAATGAGCTTTCAGGTGGTATCAGACAGGGGCGCAGCTTAAGTTTGCGATGGGTGCTACCATGATTTGCAGCGATGGTGGGGGCTGTTTATCTTTTACCAGCGAGTCACAGACGTTAACAGGTAACTGCCGTACCAATGGGTAATCAAAGTTGGTTTGCCCTGGTGTTTTCAACGGTTGTTTCAGCTCCATGTCGTGCATGTTCACTCGGCTATCCTGTAGTCTCGCGGCTTGGCTAAGGCTGTTAACTCTGCATGTCCCTGCCTGCGGTAGCGTTTGTAGGATGGAAAAGTCCCATAGGTTTTCCACCCTGTAAATTGTGTCGCATGCCATGCAGATTTTGCGTAATGCTTTTCACACATATACAATTGGTTTCATATTGTCTGGTGAGGGGCGGGGAGGTCATGGGGCTATAGGGCCCCACCGTCAGGTTCAAGCGCAGTTTTTCATCATGGCACCTGTGAGTATGGTTCTAAATCTAGTGATCAGGAACACCATTTTGCTTTTACATCTCATAAACGTTACCGTAGGCAGGGACATGTAGAGTCAAACAGCCGTAGTCAAGCCGCAAGACTACAGGATAGCCGGGTGAACATGCGCGACACGGAGCTGAAACAACCCTCAAAGGCACCAGGGCAAACCAACTCTGATGACTCATTGATACGCCAGGTACTATACCTGTTAACGTCTGTGACTCGCTGGTAAAAGATAAACAGCCCCCACCATCGCTGCAAATCCTGGTAGCACCTTCATCGCAAACTTTAGCTGCGCCCCTGTCTGATGCTACATGAAAGCTCATTCTTAAAAGTCACTGCCAAATGGGAAGGGCTGTAGATGGCATACGAGACTAACTCCTTTTTACACTTGTGTTCTAGAACGTCGGGTGTGGGGACTTGCAACAACGTGTTGGTGGTGGTGGTGGTGGCCGCGGTGGTGGTGATGGTGACGATGACTATGACGCTGACAATGGCAATGACAATGACAATGACAATGACAATGATGATGACGACGACGATGATGATGACGATGGCGATGACGATGACGATGAAGATGACGATAATGATGAAGCTGACAACGACGATGGCGATGATTTTCCGAAATGAAACAATGTGTGATCGTCGTTTGGCTTTGTATTTTTCAGATACATTCAAAAAGCGATTATAAATACAGCAATGTTTTATTTCTATCGCTCGAGAGATAACTGCCCAAAAACGCACTATCGGCTTTAAAAAAGCATGGCTTTCACAGACAGGTGCTAGAGCCGAACGTCTTAATTCAGATCATTACGTCAAATTTCAGTGCGCATCAAAAGTCGCTCTGTCCTGCTCAGTCCTTGGTACGTACGTTTCCGCATGCCATATTGCATTTTTGTGCTCCAAGTTCCCACAAAATCAGCAACCCATTAAAACTGTTAAAGCTGCTTTCTTGTTGATTGATAAGCCCTGCAATCTTCTTCGATCGGCGTCCTGATTCAAGCGTTCGCGCTTCTACATCGTCAGCGAAGGCTCTTGTGCATGCACGTGTGGTTCTAAGCGTGTGATGGTGGAGGTGATGATAATGGTGACGAATATGGTCATAGTGTTTACCTATAGCGGTCGTGGTTGTACTGATCGCTACAGCAGTGGTGAGACCATGTCGTTCATGCATAGTATGCTTATGATGGCGATGATTTGGCGATGATAGTGGTAAGTTGTGATGATGATATGGTTACGGATAACGAACGATGATTACGATGGTTATTAGCGACTGGCGATGACCGATGAGGATGGCGATGACCGATTAGCAGGATACGATAACGATGACGATTGGCTGGTGGTGATGACCCTGAAAATAAATAATAATACATTCGCAACTTCTTGCCAGTATATTTTCGATGATTGAACATGCCAAAAATAATGCCATGCAGCAAGTTTGTATTCCATTGCAGAGATCCGTTCGGTTGTTCTGGTTGCGCAAAAAAAACCGTGAATACCATACAGCAATATAAAAACTGCTGACTTGTGACCATCAAATTCCAAACATGTTCAGAGTCCTCGCAGAAGCTGTTTGCAACCTAACCCGCTAGACCAGATCGTTAACACAACTTTTGGAGTGTATCAAAGTATTAGTGCTTTTTATCCTGTTCAATGGCCCTTGGTGCACGCGTTCCCAGGGTATATTGCATTTTTGTGCTCATAGCCCTCGAAAATAAGAGAGCGCATGAACGATTTTAAAGTTGCTTCCGAAAGCTTTGGCTGTTGTCTTGCAATTCCAGTTGTAGTTGCCGAAGCGGTAATGAGATCAATGGCGGCATCCCGACAGGTCCCTTGCCAGCCGACACGGTACTGCCTCCATCATGGTGACTGCAAACACAGATGTGCTGTAGTGAGCATGGAGGCAAGAGGACCATTGCTAATATACTGGCTTTATGCCGGGTTATGACGGCGAAAAGAGTCAACCAACTAAAATGATCAGTGTTCTTAGTTTTGGCCTGGGTCACATATTTTTGTTGTGCTGATATGTTTATGACAATTCCACATGATGACACTGTCATTACGGATATTTTACTTGAAACGCGAACTTCTCATAAGTACCCAATGATTATAATGGCGATAATGATATATGACAATGCATTATGCCGCATGTAGCCGAAATGCATTACAAAAAAATGTCGTTCCACGCTACCAGTAAAATGCAAAGACTAGAAATACCGTTGTTCAGAAATTCTACAGCGAACGTCCTAATGCTACTTCTTTTATTCTTCTATTTCGTTGCACGTTTGTGGCAACGGTTTGAAAGCATTCATCAAACTGTGAGGAAGTGTCACCTGTTACACGTGTTGTTGACATGACTATGGCACCCTAAATGCACCGTCAACATTGCGTTATGATCAAGTTTTAAAAAGGTGTCCATGAATGTGTGCCAACATGTTCTGTATTCCCCACCGGTACGCACAGGTGGGTACATTATGGTGTATAGAGAGAGATGAGAGAGAGATTTAGCGAGAGACAGAGAGGAGAGGAGAGAGGAGACGAGGAGAGAGAGAGAGCAGGAGAGAGAGAGAGAGAGAGAGAGAGAGGAGAGATAGATACTTAATATATTATATATATAGCATATATATACATTATCTAACAAACGTTACAAATCCTTAACAATGAACGATCTTACAATTTTCGCGCAGCCAATTTCCGTACAGCTCCAGTGATGGCCCTCGCAGTGGCATGCGTTACACGCAGCCACACCCTTTTCGTCCGATCTGCAGAATTTTGTCACCGCTGAAACATCACAGATCAACTTTTACAACCATTAATACAGCATAGCAATAAGGTAATCAGGTGAGCACAGCGCATGTCGTGTCCTCTTTGGTCTATTGCATCGGTAACTGGTAGAGGAAACGTGTGCATTAGCAATGGTTGACGCATTGCAAAGACGGCATCTGGTGAACGCCGTCCTTGTGATGTCTTTGGCGAAACACGCACACCTCGCAGAACAAACGGCAAAGAACGACAAAGTTAGCGTAAACAGGCTACTCACGGCGACATTTGCCCTCCCCGCAGTAGGGAGCATATCGCGAGCAGTGAGCATCCGTTCTGCACCACTTGGATTTCCAGCCTGAAAAATCATATTCCACAGTGTAATGTCATGCGCTAGATCGCCGTGACTCGGCCCATCAAAGTCAAAGGATGAGGAAAGGGGCCTTCGCCGCAACACACGCCCAATGCATTTTGTTCTCTTACCGGAAGTTTTCCTTCTAAAAGGGTTTTGCGTTTTAATTTTAGCTAGCAGAGCACACTCCCCCACGGCCAGTTAAAGGGGATGTTCCGCATTTGTGTGGCGTTTTGAACTGAAATAGCCATCTTGAGGGCCTTTTGATGAAGTTTACGGTCACGTCCCTTTTAAGACCCAAAACCCTCTGGTCCTGAGTTACACGCCCGCAAAAGTGCGAAAAGGTTTATTTGGAGCCTATTTCAAAGTTGCCCCGGGATTAGTGACGTCATAGAAACGTCATGCGATCGCATTCATACTGTAGCTGTTCTCTACTTATGGTCAAAAGAGCATGGCCGCTGCTACATTCGGAAAAGGGATGATGCGGCACGTATGATACAATGCGCGGAAGGTGATTGGCTGTTAGCAAGATTTCGCTGCTGAATGCTTGTCGCGAACGTAAGCTTGGGCACTTGCAGGTTGTACGGCACTCGTCGTGAACGGGTCAGTTCTCCTTATTTCTAGGCCACAGGTCAACATTATAAAAAAGAACACCACTGCCTGCAAAAAAGTACAGCACTTAAATGACGGGCACTCCTTCAAAAGTGATAAAAACAGAAGAAGCGACGGCAAATCTGTCTTGTTCCCTTGCTGGCGCTTTTTTTTCTCTTCTTCTGCCGTATTTCTTACAGACAGACCGGTCGGCGCGTTGTCTACAGGAGGATTGAACCTTGCACGGGTTTATGGGTTAGCCAGGCATTATGAAATTAGGGAAACTTACAGTAATTTTAGGTATATATTTCACTAGACATTTCACACGTATTGTACAACTCTAATTTTGAACAAAAATTTGTGTTCTACAGGTACGTCTTGAGCCGCATTGCCATAAACACCAATTGGGACTTTGTTTTGAATGGATATGACGGTGAAATGCGGTGTCATGACTGAAAATATGTGCAAAAATTGCAAGAAAACCTGCAATTTGATAGTCCCGCGAGCTGTGTAAGCGTGATATCACACTTTTTTTCTTTTTTGCAATTGTATCCGAACCCTTTGAATGGATGGATTTCTGGGACCAGACCTAACGCTAAGCAGTGTTTTGTTGTGTGAGCCCTGACCCCTACCACCCGATCGCGCAATTCCATGTCAACGGCAGAAATTTGGTGGCGAAAGCTCAACGTGCCGCAATGCTTGGCACGGTCCGTCATGCACTCTGACGTCAACTGGCCTTCAGCGCGACCGCTGCCACCGGCCGCAGGCCATACCTGTCATGGGCAAATAGCGAACGCCCTTAAGCGACCCGAAACCACCCCGCCACGGGTGGGTGGATTGGAAAGGAGGCGCTCTAACCAACTGAGCCGCCGGGACGGACATATTTGATTTTTTTATGGACTTCTTTGACAAAAGAGCGTGAATCGGGGGCTTGAAATGTGTATGATAACTGGTGGCGTGTGCCAGTGGCTTGTATTGATATTGATGTGATGTGAAGTATGCGTGCGAGGTTTGTACTTCTGAGAGAGAGCATTGTTTTGGTATTCTTCAGGGCTACTGACTCCAAATAAAATGTGATATGTTGTTACCTGCCTCTACCTTCATGTTTGTGTTTGAACATAACAAAGGATAGCCCGCAAACTAAGAGAAACACTAGCACCTATGTTACAGGGGTGTACAAAGGCAAGCTGGTACTTCACTATGATCTTGCCAACATTTTGAACCCATTGAGGTATTACAGCATGCGATTAATCCATTGCATATGATTATATTAGCAATTCATTTTGGCAGTAGGGGTTGGTGCGTGCAGCTCAGTAATGGACATGCTTAATGTAGGCTCACATTATATGGCTTTGCAAAATTGTCTTTCCCTAAAGAATTCCGAAAATGTAGAGCTGTATTACCACTGCTGCGCACTGTACTGTCGTGGCAAATTTCGTATGCAGGCGAACATTGCTCGTGATTCATCAATGACGTAGGCACTGCAACTTGCGTGAGATGCTGGGTGCTGAGAAAGGTGGAAAAGTATTGCTGTTGGTGTCTTGGATAGCACTTAATATAATTCGTATCGTGAGCCTTGTGTGCGCTGGCAGCTTCATCATTTCTTTGCATTTTGCCCATCCAACCATAGCTACATGGATTTGTCGTGTCTCCGGCCTTGTGCAAGGTTAGCATGTTTGCAGCGTCACCTCACCACATGTAAAATTTTCCTGTTATTGCTTAACAAGCAGCCTGATGGCTGCAGCATGTTGCATGACTGTGGAAGTGGAAAATGTGTTTGCATCTTTCTCACCTGCGTTTTGTGGATTCCTCGAAACAGGGTGAGCAAGTGATGCCACGCATTGTTTGTCTGCTTTGCTGAAAGCGATTTCTATATTGCATCATGTGTTTTTGGTCAGTCATATGTCAGATGGGAAGCCGATACAACAGTTCCCGCTTAACCCATCTTTTCGTGATGGAATTTGTTATGAAAGCAGCATGGATTGCAGTAGAAAAACCATATGGTTGTTCATTATGTCATGCCGCAGTACGGCACTGAGGGGGGCGCCAAAATGAAGCTGTTGGCCCATGACATTACACAATGTACCACATTGATTGACTATTCTTTGTCAAGCCTATGACACAGCAGCTTATAATTTATGAATAACTGGTAACAACTGATTTAACAATGTCGAAGGACTATCAACAGCAAGAATGTCGTTGCACCACAATGGTTATATCAGGTTTAACTATTAATTGCATAAATAATTCTGGGCAAAAAGAAGCGTTCTTGGTAGCTTATTAATGTAAACTACCCAAGTAGTAAATTATGTTTGACTCAATATGTTTAAATGTGGAGCAGTCAAATAAAAATCATCTATTTACTTCTCTTATACCACAAGCCTCGCTTCCACTACAACTGGGTTGAAATGATCACTATGCATTTACGGCAAGGAGTGATCACTGAATATTTTCTGTGAGCAGTGTCATTGAACTAAAATAACCCAACCTGAAAGAGGGTCCCGCTCCAGCGGGCCTCTCGGCCCCCTCGTGGCTGGCGCAGACAACCTGTCTCGGACAGGCGGAGCGTCGCGAGGATTCATGATAAATTAAGAACGAGGATAAGAGCACCGGATGGGGTAGGTCGGAGCACAGACGGTCCAATCAAGTGAGCTACCGGAACGGCTGAATTCTGGCAGATTGAGGGTGAACAAGAAATATAGCCCGTGTTTGTCTCGGACAAAGTGGAAGCCGTAGCAAGCAAATAAGCCGATTTAAGTTTTTTGTTAGCTGAAAACCGAAAAAATTATCAGTTTTAAACATCGTGAAAGTACATTGAACAAACGGCATAGTAACACTGTGGTCAAAGCATACGACGCTATACTGTTTGTTTCGTCACCACTGTAGCTTGAAGCTGTGATCTAAAACACTGCGGTAGTGCTTAGCCTAATGTCGCGCCCTGTCCTCTCACGGGTGCATGCTGAAGAGAATAACATCTCAGACATATTCTAGGACGAAAAGCGGGTAGCTCACAGATAATGAGTCAGGTGGGTCAGGAGGATACATTGTAATATCTTAGCAGAACTGAGCACTGATGTTTCGGCCGAGAAATCAGTATAATGTCCGAATGACCATTAAGTGCGTAAACGCCTTCACCTGGAGCGTGAACAGCGACCTCATGCCTGCCTGGCAAGAGAGCAGCTGGTGTACACGTCAAATGCGCCGCGTGGTCAAATTCATGGCACATATAAAAAATGATATGTTGATTCCAAAGCGCGTAAGTTACATTCACGGAGCTGCTTACCTTGAACTGTCTTTGGGCTGCTCAAGATGCCTAAAACGAGGCAAATGGCGACAGACTTAGCGAGCATGGCAGCCATTTTCACTCGCTCAGTGTTAAGCGGTAAATGTCGGGCCCGTCAACGATGGTTGTTGGAAACCGAATGCGTCATGCGGTGATGGACAGTTTGCAGAGGCGTCACAAAGTGATGGAGAACACCACGTATCGGCCACCTTTTACGATCACTAACGACATCATAGGACGGACTATCAACACTGGGACTAATGCGAACTTATGAAAAAGAAATGTGCGGAGTAGATGCATAACAGGTGCATGATTTTGATCCGCACATGTCACGTTATAACTTGCATGCGCATGTAGATTACTTGGGCTGAAAAAGTGCTTTTTAGGACAACAAATGGATATAATTATCATTCTAGAAACGCACATAGATAATCCAGCAGGCGGCCCTGTCCCCCGATGGCGCCCGTTTTTCCGGCCTGACGTTAGTCTCGGGGGAAGTTACCATGCACCAAACTCGACCACGGCTTTTGATTCCGGCGTAATCCTCATCCACAGCCTTCAGAACCGGGTTTTAGTTCTTAGCTTTCAACATCCTCGTGAAATAAGCCGCCGGCTACTGGTTTGTGACTGTGTGCGGTCAATGCTCCTAATACAAATGCTTCCACCGGCAGAACCAGATAACTGTCACGTTATGACTTCTACGCAACGTTGCTTTCTAATGGATGCACGGCCAGGCGATACGGCTTCTAATGCAACAGATCGCACACAACAGATGTTATACAACTTCTAATGCTACAGAGGCCGCTCATGTATTACGTGTCGCATGTAAGATTTCTGGCCAACATCTCACTCATATCATCTGTTATAAGCCTGGGGCTCTGACGCAGTGAGCTGATTGCTTTTAAAATGCGAGCATGGACACATCCTTATTTGATTAACAGCAAGGACATCATTTGACAGGAAATTGCAAATTTGAAAGCGAGAAGAACATGAACACAACATAGACAGATTACACGTAGCTATTCACTTTTTGTTTACATTTGACAGCATGGACAATGGAAGTTCTATGAGTTTGCGGGTCTGGATCGTTTCCTTTCCTGTTTCTTTTCCGTAAGTGCATAACAAACATTCGCCGTTCAATCAATATCGGCCCTACCTTGAGAAGGCAAATATTTCATGTTTAAAAAGTCAGGCCCATCCGCCACATCCCGTCAGCCGGAAAATACAACATATTTACAACAAAAAAACCTTTTGCAACTCTTGTTAGCTGGAAGTTTGACAGCATCTTAGAGATACCTTGATGGTTGAAAAACTGAGATAACAGCAGTGTTTTTATTACCTTGAAATCTATCTGGACATTGCCAGATCTGATGAAGTTGATTACTGCACCATTCATAACAGATACCCCACTGTCCGGCAATGATAAGCACGTAGCTTCAGGTGTCATGTACTCATGCGTCAGGAAACCATCTTAACTAGCAGTAAAGCCTTATTAGCTGTAGTGGGCATATCAGTAAATGCCGACTGTTTCGCATGTATGTGTTATGTGGCTCTTAAAGGGTGTGCTCCCTTTTTGTGTTACGTTTTGAGCTGAACCGGCCATCTTGAATATCATTTGATGTAATTCCCAGTCCTGCCTTTCCTAAGACCTAAGTCCGTTTAGTTTCTGAGCCACACGTCCGCAAACATGCACAGACTATATTGCTCAGGCTACTTTAAGTTCGCCCAGGCATCCCTGACGCTAAAATAGTCATTCAAATCATGCCATGCCATTGGCAACGCGGCGATCAAGCCAAGCAAAATATAATTGTCGAGTCGCTTATATCTGACGTTTGCGAGCACGATTTCCAGAATAATACGGCCGTCAATTGACTCTAAATCAATGTTATGCAAAGTACGATCACGCAATGAGTGAGATATTACCGAATGTATTCGCCCAAAACAGAAATAATGTTTTCCAGAGCAGTTTTTCACTTCAAAGTTGACCAGTGGTTACAAGCGAGCTTACGCCATCATGTATGATGTTTGGTTCCTTATCTTCAAGTGTCAAACATTATCTTTAGCTTTTTCATTCAAGCAGGAATCTGTGGGTCGTCCAGAGGCAAAGGTCTTCAACTAAGAGTAATGCTATGTTGGTTGCAGTGGTGCCATCAGGACATACCGTTTGACTTGCCCGATGGTGTGTGAATTTCATGTGGTGCGAGAACAGAGCTTTGTAAGGGTGCGCTGTGTGAGAATTTCCAGGATCCAGGATATGGCTTTGTCGAAGGAACTAGTCGGAACAAAGATCCATGGTTTTGTTTTGTCGAAATACCAGCGCAAGGTCCAATCTTGGATCCAAAGATCCAGGATCTTGGTTTATCAGAAGAGCTAGCAAGAACTTGAACCCCGGTTTTATTTTGTCGAAAGAACCAGGGAAACATGATTCAGGGTTCTGCTTTGTGGGACAAACCAGTGAAAACCAGGAATTACAACTGTGAACCAAGCAAATGTCTGGTGCAACCATAAGGACGTGGGGAATGGGAGCTAAGCCACTTACAGGGATTGGCGGCTCTAAGACTGAAAAATGTGGTACCTAGTGACAGATCAAATGCATAACGCAGGACCAAGTTACAAAATAAGATTGCTCAACCCAGTCCGTGTTTAGAGATGCACGTGATGGTGCGCGCCATTCGTTCAATAAGTCATTTTGAAATACTCATTGGCAGAAGTCATTGCATATAATTGTATTTGTCTTTAATGCATGCCTACGCTCCGGCGATGACGTAGGCGTACGTGTTTTACATTTGGTCTGATGGGCGGTGAGAGCTCGCCAGTACCCAGCCCAGTCGTACCCAACCCAGCAAACCCAGTCGTCTGAGTTTGCGTGGTCTTCTCCGTTCAACACAGAGGTACGGGTGTGAGGCCGAGGGAGGCTGCGAGGGCTGCTTTTCACCGGCCACTGCCAACGTAATTCACCGCTTGCGTTGTGTCCCTGCCAATTTGAGCGTGTTATCAGTGCAATTGATTATTGTTGCATTTAATAGCTCCAATTTTGCCTCGCTTAAATATTGTCGTTAGCTCAGCGATGGAGGTGGAGTACCGTGCATAGGGGCGCACAGCCATGTACGGAGAGAAGCCGTTCATGGTATCTGATCGGGCCTACCGTTCCGCCAATACCCCGGTCACCCGCCTCATCCTGGCTTTGTGAGTCACATGAGTATGTAATGATGTCGGGTGCACAACGTGCTGAGTCGTGGGCTTGCATCATTTGACTCGTATGCTGGCCAATGGGCTCCTCAATATGAATTCGCTTTTGTAAGATGTGACAGCGGCGCCGGCGGAGCACAGGCATACAGCGGCAGCCCGGCAGCAGTGCAGCGCAAGAACCAAGCACCACAAGCACCACGCAAGCATTACAGAACCCCACCCCACAACAGTGTCTCTGCTCTACACACAACCCGTCCAAATTAGGTACCACTTGTATGCAAAGTGTCAATGTGCTAATAGTAAGTTTGTGACCAAATTTAACATAAGCAGGTGAAAATGACCCAACGTACCTTCTGGATTAATTTGATATTCGAAATTACCATCGGCGCCAAGCACCGCCCTTGGGCGGCATGCTCCTCAAAGCAAACGCTTAATTGAGATCCTGTTAGGCCAGTAACCTTCCTTGAACGTCATGAAGGCAAACCAAGAAATCTTCTGCGTCGTAGTCCAAAAACGCGAAGTGGTAGTTAAAAACTATCTTATAAGGCAAATTTTCCATTGATAACGTGGTGAGTTTTTTTACCTTGATCTGAATCTGTAGGTAAACTAAGGTAAAATGATTTGGTCCTAATCCTGATTTCAACAGTCAAGCTGTCAAAGACAATCAAAGTTGTATGACTTAGTCTAAAGCTACGTTGTCGTATCATTCTGAACGATAACCTAAAAATTACCCACATTGACAACCTTGGGCTAACTTTGACCTATCAGTAGCCTAACCACATATATCCAGTTTTGTAAGTAAAACTTTGGCTATTCCATTGCCTACAGTTCTGTGAATTTTGACGCTGCTCTGCCACGCCGTTCCGAAATGATTTTGAAAACACATATTTCTGGACATTAAAATTGACCCCCACCCCGAACGTGTGGCGCGGAACATCACTGGACGCTCATACTTGCTTGTCTTAGTAAATAGGTGGTGGCTTCCTTATCGAACCTTTCGAACTTTACACCATCAGCGAAGGTTGCTTATACGTGCTCGCACATGGTTCTCTAAATATGAATCTGAAGGTGATCATGATGATGATGTTTATCATCATGGTGGTGGCAGTTGTGACGGTAGTCGCACTGTTGGTCACAACGATGGTGAGGCCTTTGGGTGCGATGCTTGGTTATGATTGCGATGGTGGTGGTGATAACGATGGTGGTGGTTGTGTGGCCAATGGTAGTGGTCGTGATAATGATGGGAGTGACGGCGACGATGACGCTGACGATGACAATGATGGTGACACGATGACGATGACGATGATGGTGACGATGACGATGACGATGACGATGATGGTGACGATGACGATGCCGCTATATTGTCATCATGAAAATGAATGATGCATCGTGACCGCCTGATGGTTTATTTTCCACACAAAATAACAATAAGAAGTGCAGCAAAGTTTGCGTTCTGTCGCAGAGGTCTGGTCAGGGCGCAAAGTTCTGGGCTGGTTTCGGTCTGGTCGCATTATGTGTGAAAAGAAATACAGAACTCCTGAAAGCGGTGTCAAAAACTGTATTTGTGGTGTTAAAAGAGGCGTTTTCAGGGTCATCACAGACAGATGTTGCGATGAATACATCATTTTGGATCATCACATCATGTTTCAGAGCTCATCAGAGGTGTCTGTACTCTTTGTCTTGACTCACAGTTCTTCGTGCGTGCGATCCCCCAAAGCATATTGTATTTTTTTTGTGCGCGGATTTTTCACACGTTCAGAAACTCCCATTACCAGCTCCAAAGCTGCCTCTGAAAGTGGCGGCCGTGCTCTTGCAATTCCAGCTGAAGTTGCCGAAGCAGTGCCGAAGATATTTAACGGCACAGTGGCAGGTCCCCTGCCAGCCGACACGGTACCGCTCCTTTATGCTTATCTGCAGACACAGGCATGCTATAGTGAGCATGGTGACAACAGCACCACTGCTGCCATGCTGACGTCGCGTCGTGTGTTGCGGCGAGGGTCCGCTAACGGCGCGCTTGATTTCTTGGTCTGCTGAGTTTAAAGTGAGACAAAAATTCCGTGTGCTATGAAACCTGTCACAATCCACCTGACGCGTTGGCGCTACGAACCTATAGCCTGGAGCAGAAGCATTGCATAAAGACAACGTCTCTGTAGGCGGCACGAAATACATTGGAAAAACATGGCACCAAGTCAGTAGAAACGTCGTAAAATCACGCAAATATGTGTGTTTGATGCGAAGTTGATTGGCACTCCATTTATTTCTTCTATTTTTAGGTTCCTAGGTCATGAAGTTTTGAGGCTTCTAGGTCATGGCCTTCGTGTCAAATAAGGTCAAACAAGGTCATATTACACGTTGGTCTCAAAAGTGCCACCGGAGCCTGGATATCTGTTTCAAGGCAAAAGGTTACATGCCCATTAAGGGTCAGGAACCTTGCTTGACCTCTTCAAGGTCATAGTGACCAAAATCATGCAAGACCGCTTTGGGTTTTCCATTTTACTAAGTGCAAAAGATTACGCTAAGCGGTATGTTTCAAATAAAAAGACGTTAACATGGGTCATTTCAGTTCAATGACTTATTCTGACCTCTGAGAAGCCCATGGAAAATGTATAATGTGGCTTGTGCTATCAGTAAATTTTAATGTGCGCCAGAAACTATCAAATACGGCAGACCTTAGAGAAATAAGACGGGTTGGTTTTTGACATTGGTCTGACATTCATACTTGACCTCAGGTCAACGTGATTTGTTTATTCAATATTGTTTTGCCTATGGAAGCATATCAGAGGTGTACGGCTTCGTCTAGCACTTCGTTGTTTCATGGGTTTGAGCAATTTCCTAGAAACTGACTTCTCTGAAACCCTGGTCTGATTGGACCTGCCAAAAGTCAGCGACCTTGCAAGATGCAACTAAATTTGGGAAACCAAACGAACCGCTATTCAATTATCTACAGCTGTGCAAAATTTGGAGCGGGTACACCGCGCCTTTCGTAAACCATTGTGGAAAAAACCTTCCGGGGGTCAATTTGACCCCTCCACTCGGGCGTGTGTTAAACTGTATAAGTATCGGGGTCTTATGTTGTTGTGCAAGCTGCACAACACCCGGAATGCACCAGTAAAAGTGTATGAAATCAAACTTTAAAAATGGTGCCGCGACATAGCAGGACACAAAACTCTCAATTTGGTCATTCACTTGGAGACACCATCTAGATGCCAATAACTCATTGCCACAACAATTGCTATGCATTCACTTACATGACCCGCAAGTAAAATTTTTGTACAAGCCCAGCCGTGACGTACGCATTTACATGTGTTACATCCGGCAACGCCGCGTTCGCCGGAAATGCAGAATGTTGTAACCGCTGAAACATCGCCAAACATGTTAATCCACAGAGTGATAATCTCATGACGTGGTCAGGTGTGGTCAGTCCATGATGTGATCAGACGAACACACGGTGTGTGTGTGTGTGTGTGTGTGTGTGTGTGTGTGTGTGTGTGTGTGTGTGTGTGTGTGTGTGTGTGTGTGTGTGTGTGTGTGTGTGTGGTGTGTGTGTGTGTGTGGTGTGTGTGTGGTGGTGTGTGGTGTTGTGTGTGTGTGTGTGTGTGTGTGTGTGTGTGTTTTTTCCCTCGGCCCACGCATTGGCAACAGTTAGAGGAGAAGGCATCTGGTGAATGCCGTGCATGTTAATGTCTTTGCCGAACTATCGCACGTCTCGCAGAACAAAGGCCAAGAAGGACAAGTTCAATATACGTAGGTTACTTACGGCGACATTTGCCCTCCCCGCAGTAGGGAAAGTAATGCGAGCAGTCAGCATCCGTTTTGCACAGCTTGGGCCAGCCTGAAAGCAATGATTCCAAAGTATATTTACGTGCACTATATCGCCATAACTCGATCGATCGAAGTAAAAAATATGTGGAAATGAGGGTTTGGCGCAAACCACACCCAGTGTGTTCCATTTTATTTGCGGAATTTTTCCTTCTCACAGAGTTTTACATTGTTATTTGTCCTCACAGCGCATACGCCCGAGGGGCTGAAATAAAAAAAAGAAAGTTTCTCTCCTCAGCAGGGTGCATAACCCGGGCAGCGAGCATCCATGTTGCACCGTGTGAGCCGCAACCCTGAAAAATGATGCAGCAGTTTATGCATTTGGTCGCCACAAGTCGGCCAAAGTTCATGCGTTCGGGGAAACGCATTTTCCGCAAGTGACACTAGATGTGTTTTATTGAATTAAAAGAAAACGTTTACATGAGGCCTATTATCTGAGTTCAAACAAGTTGAGTTTTAAAATTTTTATTCGCTTCACGTCTGTCACCAGGCGCACATCCCAAGCAACTAGCTTGAGATGACGTATTTTGAGGCTATACAAAGTAGTAGCCTAACCCGGGCTTTACAGCCTGGCTTTAGCAATGACCTAAGATATCTAGAACTGACTTTAGTGAATATCTCGGTCCATCGTGTGTTACGCCACACGCTGGTCTTTTTTGTACTTCCAAACACGAATTCTTTCACTTTGCTGAAAGGATTCAATGTGAATGAGGTATTCTTATGTTTTCTTAAATGAGATGAAAACTATTAGCTTAAAATATAGTTTGTAAAAGCAATCACAAAAGATGAAACTCGCAAACATGTTTTAAACGTTGCGCAAAAGTCTTCAGCGAATAGCGTGTTAAACGAAATGACGTTTACAAAATTATCAATTTAGATAAGAATAAAGCCGCTTACCTGTAGCTTTCCGAGAGCTGCTCACAACGCCTAAAACCACACAAAGGACGATGAATTTAGAAAGCATAGTGACAATCCTCTCCTGCTCAATGCTTAGCAGCAAATGTCGGGTTCCTCGATGATGGCTCGTTGGACGCCGAATGATGCGTCATAACCGTGATGGACAGCTCGCAGAGGCGTAACAAAACAATGAAGGACGCCGCGTATCGGCCATCTTTCACCATCACTAACGCCGTCTTAGGTTGTTGGGTGTCACTCAAAACTATCAGAGGACAATCTGGCGCGTATTTATAAAAACACGTGTAATTAATGTTTAGCTCGTGAGATATGTGATATTTTGCAGTTTGTAATCTGCCTAGAAATGGCTATGGCGCCAATGGCTATGACTAAGCCTGCAGGGGTCAGAAATTAGCAAAGGCAGGATCAGTTAGATTTGGTTTGGTTGGCTGCGGACGTCAACAGATCCTGCCTTGCACGCTAGTGTCGGATTGTTAGCCTGCGTGATCCTCAGAATTCAGCTGTCTTTGGCGCTAGCTTCGCCTGCAGTCGTCAGAAACGTTATTAACTTTGGCTCTGAAGCTTTCATTATGCTGATGAAGCTAGCAACCGGCTTCTTGTTTGTGGCCGGGTATACGGACAATGTAGCTTACACAAATCCTACTGATGACAGAAATACAGAGCTTTCACAGCACGAACTACACGCGACATTATTTGTGTTGCATAATATTCTACGCGATCAAAGTTATAAAGCAATACTTTACAGAGGGTGACGTCGTGACGCTACCCTCATATGTACCTTTAATAATGCTTGGGGCGTTTCATGTTTTAACCCTGAAAACCAGACGCTGCTGACTTCCTTTCATGACAAGCAGCATGTCTGTTTTTTTTGTCGTATCTCCCATTCAGTTCGGGGCCAAACGGACGCTACGTGTTTGGAACATTACGCTTAGCACAGGGTGATCAACGTGAGGGTTTTTATCCCAGCGTAGCCAGTGCGCATCTAAAAGGAGGCAAATTTTGTAAACTGCAAAAAAGGAGTTCCGTAATTTGGGGACGGCCTCCAGGTGGTATTTTGTCCAATGAACAAAATTACTAACGTGCAAACGATCACGTACATAAACTCGGATGCAAAGACTGCTTAGGCATTATGTCCAGCCACGGGTCGTCTAACGCAAACCATTTCTACGGAGCACCGCGACAAAGCCGGCACGTCGAGTGCAAAATCGCCAAGAGGGTCGTTCCAATCTCCTAGTGCTGTCGAAGGTAAAGGAACTCCGAGTGCTGTGGCCAACGTTTAAACCTGTGACAGACGCAAGAACGTGAAAAGAGTGGCAGTTAAATCAAAGATCAGAGTGCTACCAGGGATCAGCGGTTCTGCTGCTGAAAAATGTGACAGTGAATAACGTGATAGTGGACGTGGATAATCGTGTATGTCAAATGCATAACACACGGGAAGACCACAAAGATAAAATCGTTTTCCCCTGTCTGTTTTTAGGAGTAAAGGTTTGGACTATTAGCTCAGTCGGTTATTGTGCCATATTCTTAAGAATACGATTTGACGCTCAGTCCTGTTCTTCTTAAAGGAGATAGTATACATTTGTATGGAGTTTTGAGCAAAAATAGCCATCTTAATGCAGTTCACAACTATGCTTTTCCAAAGCCATCTTGGTTTCAGCTCTACATGCCCGCAAACATTCCAAACTATATGGAAGACTATTTCAAGGTCCATGACCACAAGATAATATCAGTAAAATCTCACCATTTCTTTGGCCATAAATAGCTGGGAATTGGATCTCAATTTATGTTGTGCATGGTACGATAACGTCATCGAACAATGACGCGTTGAGGAGCATATTTATCGAACAGGGGACGAGGACGAGGACGAGAACGATGACGATGGCGATGGCGATGACGATGGCAATGACGATGGCGATGGCGATGATGATGTCAATGACGATGACGCGCTCAAGGACGAGCACGTCGTAGACGATGATGACGACCACGACTGTGATGCAATAAAACATGCAATAAAACAAAGCATTGGCACCGCTTGACAATATATTGTTCAAACCAAATACAAAATAATTAATAGAACACCGTTTGCAATACATCACAGAGATGTGGTGGTTGCAACGTGTCCGATTAAATATTGAGCACCACAGAGCGGTGTCAAAAACTGCATTTGTGGCCATCCAAAATCTATTTTCAGGGTTCTCACAGACAAGCGTTCGTACCGAATGCATTGTTCCGGATCATGGCTTCAAATTTCAATGTGCATCAGATGTGCTGGCGCCCCTTGCTTAGTGACCACAGTTCTTGGTGCGTCCATTTACCAGCGCACCGTGCATTTTTTGTGCTCGAAGTCTTCACAAATTCAGGAAGCCCATTAACCGTATTAACTCTCGCTCCGATAGCGGCGGGGGAAGGGGAGGGGGGGGGGGATGTGAGTCCCATAAGATTTTGGGGGATAGCGCCTTGGGTGTAGTGTAATCACGCCCATAGTTTCCCTAGCGTAATGGACGTTAGTTGCGCGTGTTTTTGACCGTACCAGCATGCTTCTAGCTTTCCTGGTTTCCAACGAGGAATGGTTTTGTAGGAACCCTCTAAAACTCCGCGATCCGCGGCCGGCAGGGTGGCTACCGACGAAGCCGTCGATCGCACATGTCGGGCCAACACTGTCGCATTAACAGAGCCCTGCACCATGAACATATGCTGAAAACACATAAAATGCATCAGTGTGCTCAAAATTAAACACGAAACACCGTTGTGTCGTTCATGTTTTGTCTGGCATGGTAGTTGTCACTGGCCTTTTGATCTGGCTTGAATGGGGTCAGTTATTGACCTAGGCACCTTGTCAACACAATCCAAACTAATAGCGAGAGCTCGTTGAGGCCAATTCACTGTTTTCTCCGCGAGGCTCTATCTTTCTTAGCTTGGAAATCGGAGGGGTGGGTCGTATCAAACTTTCTATCGTTCCGCGCTATTATGTGGGGCGAGGTCAGGGCGAGGGTTAAAGCTGCTTCTGAACGTGTTGGTTGTTGTCTTGCTAATTCCAGCTGCAGTGGCCGAGGGCAGAACCGAGGATCAGTCGCGGCATAGCTTCAGATCCTTCCCACTGACACGGCACCGCTCCATCATGTTTGACTGCAAAGGACAGACATGCCGTAGTAGTGAGCATGGTGACAACAGGGTCCTTTCTCCCTATGCTCGCGTCGCGCCGTGCATTGCAGCGAAAGTGCGCCAAGGGCTCCCTAACAATTGCCAGTGCTTCCTGGTTTGAAAATGATTCAATTGCACCCTCCGCTGATATACTTATAACATTTCCATTTGTGGCAATGCATTTGTTTTACTTGAAACGTAACCTTTTCATGAGGTGCGATGGTGACGGCGGCGATGATGATGATGACAGCATATTACGCTCATGTTGCCACATAGACGCAAAATGTGGTGTCCACTGTAGCTGTAAGATATAGACCATACGAACCGATGTTCAGAAATGCGTCACGCGCAGCTTAAGGACACTTCATTCATTCTGCTACTGCACTACATCAGGTGTTACTGCACTACATCATTTTGCTACTGCATTCCGACTTACACACACCAAACAATGCATACAAATACTATCTAAACAACTGTTAACTGCTGCCTTAATGTGCACTTACCTGGTTCCGGACAGCTTTTATACGCGCAGGCCCAAACGGCCTAAACAGGCAGGCCCAGGCCTAAGCAACTGTAAACTGCTGTCTTAATGTGCACTTACATGGTTCCGGACAGCTCTTATACACGCAGGCCCAGACGCCCTTGCCGCAGATGCACCTCTTGCATCCAGCCATGCCCTCTTCGCCGGATCGGCAGTGTGTTATCACCCCTGAAACATCACATATTAGTGGTCGCAATCCACAGAGTAGGCTGCTTAAAAGACCAACGTGTAATACTTTTCCTCTGGCCCATTCATCGGCAGCTGATGCAGGAAAAGGTAACTGGCGGTCGCCGTCCTTGCTAATTAATCTGCCGTCCATTAATATCTTTGCCGAACTTTATACGTCTCGCAGAGCAGAAGGCCAAGGACGACAAACTTAAAACACGTGTGCTACTCACGGCGGCATTTGCCCTCTCCGCAGTAGGGAGCGTATTGTGGGCAGTCAGCATCCATTTTGCACAGCTGGGGCTTCCGCACTGAAAGCAGTGAGGCAACGGTTTATGCACTGAACTGTCACACCTCGGTCATTTAGTCAAAGAGCCCGGGAGGCTGCATTTGCCCAAATGTACAGGTTTTTACATTTGAACGTGAGCAAGAAGAATTTGCAATATCAGCCATTCATTTCTCCGTTAGCACAAAGCACTCTTCTCTTACAACGAGACTAGGATGGATTCTTTGCAGTGGCACAAAAGGTGGCCGGTAGCTCGCGTGTGAATCACAAAAAGCGGCTCAAGTGCAGTGTGAGTACTGTTTTTTGTGAATTGCTTTACCGTGAAAGCTGTTAACGACGCATGCTCACGCACATGTAAATGTGCACTTGCACGTTACATAGGGTTTATGAAGGGCTAAGGAAGGTTTAAAGAGACAGTCAGCCAGGAATGTGGCAGAGAATGTTGAGCGGTAATGGAGTGTAGAACAGAATGTGCAAGCGATATAACAGTGGGAATCATTGGCGCCAGAGGTGGGTGGTGGAGCACCCTTACTCACTGCTGGCCAACGGTGCCACTTGCAGCCACACCGATGGTCTGTGAATACCCCGAAATTTGGTTGATATTCCATCGTTTATGACATTTTGTCAACAGCTTGGAATTGTCAACGTCCATTGCCCCAGACCCAGTTATAGATCCAGATCAAGTGGCCGTCTGACACATTAAGTGGTTGTCTGGAGCTTCCGAGACGAATACGCAAATCGTCTACCCGTGAACAGGCTCAGTTTCTAAAGTTGTTATTAGCATTAGCAATGCCTCTGGAAAATAGCGACAACGTTTGTTTATGTGTTCTACTTCGCTGTGCAAATGGCTATTGCAATGATTGAATCAGACAAAGGAAGCGAGTTGTGACACAGCGCAATAAGCTGACGCTGTGCTCGCCTCAGGTTGTGTTTCTGCACCACGGTGTTCCTGTCAGAAGTTGTCACCCTGTGTCACCTTCGTAGAAAAGTCAGGTCCCCGTCCTGTATCCGGAACTACTTCCTTTATTGCCTCGTCTGTGGGTCCGTTCCTCTCGCAGTATCCATGCACGTCTTCTTGAAGCACAGCGCTGATTTCACCCTGCTTCTGGAGCGGGTGACGTGAGAGGAAGTCGGGCACCAGGTGCTGCTTCCCTGGAACGAAGACCGCTGGGGTTGTATCCCATCAAGCGCATGAGCATGCGCTGGCATCTGATCGGCGCATCCACGAGATTTTTCGTGTTAACCAGCGGGATCAGAGGCTTGTGGTCCAGATGCAGCTCGAACGACGGCAGTCCGGACAGGAACATGTGCATTTTCTCGCACGTCCACGTCGCGGAGAGTAGTTCTTCCTCAATCTGGGCCCATCTGGTCTCTGTGTCAGTCAGGCTTCTGCTGCAGAACGCGACGGGTTTGAAGACGGAGCCGTGCTTCTGGAGAACACATCCCGATGCCGAAACTGCTGGCGTCGGCGCTGACCACCGTCTCTCGTGCTGGGTCGTAGAACGCCAGAGCTGGAGCTGAAGTGACGGCTACTTTCACGTCATCCAGCGCCTGCTGCTGCTGTGGTGTCCAGATCCATGCTACGTTCTTCCTCAGAAGCTCGTTCAGTGGTCTTAAACACTCCTGGATGTGTGGAACGAACCGGCCCAGGAAGTTGATTACTCCGAGCAGAGACCTTAGTTCACTGACATTCTTTGGTGGTTGGAGCTGCTGGATCGCTTCGAGCTTCTCTTCGTCCATGCTGATGCCGTTCTTGCTGATCTTCATCCCCAAAAACTTCATCCCCAAAAACTTGACCTCGTTCTTCCGGAACTCACACTTTTTCCTGTTCAGCTTGAGGCCAGACTCGTGGATCCTCCTGATGACGGCCTCGAGACGTGCATCGTGGCTGGCAGCATCTCCGAACACCACGGTGTCGTCCATGTAGACGATGACTTGGGCAGTCCGTCCAGCATCTCCTCCATCTTCCGCTGGAAGCACTCCGGTGCGAGCGAGATCCCCATCGGCAGTCGCAGGAACCTCTTCCTGCCGAACGGAGTGATGAACGTGGTCATCTTGGAGCTCGCCTCGTCCAGCGGGATCTGGTAGAAACCGGAAGAGGCGTCCGCTTGGTGAAGAGCGTCGCGCCACTCAGCTTGGAGGTCAGCTGCTCCAGAGTAGGGATCGGGAACACCTGTCGCTTCACAGACTGGTTGAGTCTCTTGTAGTCAACCGTGATGCGGACACCGCTGCTCTTCGGCTTCGGGACGGGACCAGCGCAGAGACCCAGTCCGTTGGCTCGGTTTCCGACGTGATGATGCCGTGATGCTCCATCTTCTTCAGCTCCTCTTCCACCGGCTTCATCAGTGGCAGCGGGATATTTCTTGCAGTGGCAAGGGCGAATGGAACAGCATCTTCACGGAGCTGAATGCTGACCGGTGCTGTCTTCAGGAGACCTGCCTCTCCGAAGACGTCTTCGTTGACTTCACCTGTGAATCTCAGTACGCCCAGGCGCGAGCAAGCAGACCTGGAGAGGAGATCATCAGCTGAGTCAACAACGTAGAACACTTCAGGCTCGGCTTTGTTCTTGAACAGGAGTGTTCCGTGCATCTTTCCTTCTACTTTTAGCACGCTACCAACACTTGTCAGAGTATTTGAAGCATGTTGAAGCGGCGGCAGTTTCAGCTTCTTGTACGTTTTCAGCGTCAGAATGCTAACATCAGCGCCAGAGTCAACTTTGAAAGAGACTCGTTGACCATTTAGAAGGACTGAAACTCTCCATGGCGCGCAAGCTTTGTCTACTTCGTCAACAAAAATGTCGGGCGGCGATAGCTGTTCAATGGACTCTGTCCGCGCAATCGCTCTGACACCGTTGGAGCGACAAACATACGCAAAATGATCTATTTTCTGGCAGTTGTCACAGATTTTTCCCTTAGCAGGACAATCTTTCGGAGACGCATGACGTGCTCTTCCACAGTATCTTCATGCTGTTGAAAAGTCGGTACGCTGACTATGCTGTTGCCGCTGCGCGGTGGAAGGCTGCTGTTGACGTCTGTACTGCTGGTGCTGCTGGCGCGGCTGCCTGTGCCGCGCCGGTGCACAAACCCTACTGATATCAGGCGGACCAGAGCTGTCACGGCCGTTCACGATCTCGACATTACGCATCATCGAAATGACGGTATTTGCAGACACTTCCTCCTCTAGTGACTTCAGCTGAATTCTACGGGACAGCTCCAGTCAGACATTCCTGAGATGAGACGATCTCTGATACGCTCATCAGCGTCAGCGAAGCTGCAATGCTCAGCTAGAGAGAACAAAGCTCTGATGTACGATTCATTAGTCTCGCTTGAGCTTTGAGATCTAAGCTCGAAGTTGTGACGCTCTGCAATAAAGTTCCTTTTCGGAATGAAGTACCCGTCTAGCTTTGAGACAACAACTTCAAAATCCTCCTTCTGCTCAGCAGTAAGCTTAAATATTGGTACGATATGCTCAGCCTGCGGACCCATGCTGTAAATCAACGCAGCTACTTGAACGTCACCGTCCTCTTTGTGTAGTCCCGATGCCAGTCTGTAGCGGACGAACCGATCACGCCAGGTCGGCCACCTCTCAGGCGATGTGAAGTCGAATTCCTCAGGAGGACGAAATCCAGGCATCTCGACTTGGTTCACAACTCACACTGCTTAAATTAATGCTGCTCACGCTTGCTTAAGCTTAATAGGTTCAATGCGGCTGCGCCATATTCAAGTCTACGTGTTCTGTCTACCCAGACCAGACACGAGCGCTGCGAGACGGCAACTGTCTTATCCCGCGAAGCGAGCGGGCGGCGCCGACTCCGGCGGGTGGCGCCCCAGGCAGTACACCGCCATTCGGGGCAGCGGCGTACCAAAGTGCAGCAGCACTGGCGGCGCGAGCAGGGGCGGCCTCAGGGGTACGCAGTAACATCATGATACAGTCCACTTTGTTTCTCAGAGAGCAGCGCATTCTCAGTTAGGTGTTGATAAATATTATGAAAGATAATTTTTTCAACAATTTGACACACAAGGAAGTAAACTGATTGGTCTGTAGTTAGCAGGATCTGAGCTTACCCCTTGTTTTTTTTAAATGGGATGAACCTTTGCTTCTTTCCAGGTGGAGGGAAAAGCAACTTGGCTTAGTGGCATGTTGAATATTTAGTGAGTTGAGTCTTTATCAACATGGCAGCCATTTTTAATATTTTTGCTGGGAGATTGTCAAAACCACATGATTTGTTTGGATCGAGAGTGTTGCGTGCGCTCACTACTTCATCCCCTGTAATGATTATGTTATCTAACGTGGGTGGTGGATCCGCAAGCGCGGTCTCGGGCACAGGTAGGTCGTCAGTTGCGAGTTGTGATTGTCTGGCAAAAAAGTTACCTAGTAGGTTAGCTTTATCTAAATTCTGTCAATGGGGTTGAATCAGGTCCTACGAGCGGTGGCACTGTCTCAGCTCGTGTCCGTCCTATCATTTGTTTAAGAATGCGATGGTACTTGTGTGGGTTTTGTTTTGCATGCAAGAGGTTGTTTACTTGACACCGCAAGTGGTTGTTCTTAAGTCATCTTTTCATGCATGTGGTTAAATTTCTTCGCTGTCGCCAGCGGTCCCAATGGTCATCAGTCATATACCTCTGAGCAAGTCTGAAAAGTCTGTCTCTTCTCCTCACCTCTCTTTAGTGCATCATTGACCCAAGGTTTGTCACAGTTTCTCATCCTGACTATCTTTACTGGGATGGCTTCAGCAGCTGCTGCGAACATGGCCTGCGTAAAGTTATTTGTCTATGTGTCTATGTCATGATCAAGCACTCTGTCCCAGTCTGTATTTACCAGAAGTTGTGAAAGTTTTCTACATCCACGTTTGTGTAGTCCCATACTTGTTTGGTTAATGCCTTTAGGGGTGGCGATGTAACCTTGATAGTGACAAAGGTAGGAATGTGATCTATTAGTGAAGGGGGGGGGGGGAGAACCCCACTGTCTGCAATTATGTTTGTGTTCGATGTCAGTGTTAAGTCTCGTAAGTTGACTGTGTCT